AGTATTCTATACGTAACATATATATATATATATATATATATATATATATATATATATAAGTTCACTTAGCAATCTTAAGTGGCAAATGTGACATGATGTCAACCAACAACAAACTCCAAAATTAATTAACAGTGCTCAGAAATTACACTTATACACAAAAAGTTCAACTTTAAACGGAAAAATAATAAATGTTTTCATACAATGGAACTTTATAACACTCGTTCAGAATAAAAATGATGATAACTAATGGTATGCATAGTGGTTTCCATGAAATGGCGAACTAATTCATCATTATCATAGCTAATATCAACTGGTTATTGCTGACTAGCAGTGGAGTCCAGGATGTACATTCCGTTCTGTTTGAGGCCTGCATCCCAAAAAGATTGAAACTTAGCACTAATCATTTGAAACGTTAAGTCCTTCACGCTCAGAGCTGACATGTCAGCAGACACAGGGAATTTCGATACAACGGCTAATTCACAATAATACGTTTAATATATGACATACTCATTTAATGAATGTTGTAGTATATTTGGTTTCTTAATTCCTGGTATATGTGCATAAAACCTCTGGTTTATCTGTATTTCAAGAATGGACTAACATTATTTACATACACATATAATTATTCCTTAGAATTTCGCTGCTCATGATTCAGTCATATGTTCCGTTTGACACTCATTTCTCCCTGACTGACGAACACTTAGTGGATAAGAAAAATGAAGCGTTTTTCACAGTTTCTGCAGGCAAAATATTTTTTTTGTTTAGAGAAGAAGGCTCCTCATTTCAAGCTCGGACACAGGCCCAACTCGTCGTTTCCCATTCGGATATCACTCAAGGTACCGCCTGGAACATGATGTCATTCGACAGTTTTCTCAGTGTGTGTCCGATCCATATCCATTTCCTTCGTCATATTTGTTGAGTAATAAGTTCTTTGTTGGTTAGTTCAGAAAGTTCCTTGTTGTTCATCCTTTCTGACTCACAATCTGATCTTCACTATACGGTTAGAGAAGACAGCTACTATTAAAATTCTGAAGCGTGTTGAAAATGCTTTTCGTTACATGCCAAGTTTCTGACTCATATAGAAGAACTGATTAAACTAACATCGGTGTTGAGAATCCAGATTTTGCTTTTTTTTATGTTGTGGTGGAGTGGAGAAGATTTCCAAACTGATTTCAGAGTGATCCAGGTCTGTCCTTACTTTCCGATTTTAGTTTTGACATCCTCGTCCATGGGGCGTATTTGTGGTTAAAATGATGATAAGCAGATAAGTAAAGGTAGTGACCCCGTTCAAATTTCCTCCACTGATAGTGATTGGTTGGTGATTGTTTGTGGTTGGTTATCTTCATCACCTCTGTCTTCTCTATGTTCATTTGAAAAAATAGTTATCCATTTTTATTTTACAGAACACGATGTAAGAAAATACGTATTTTCTGGAAATTCTCATCAGATTTTATATTTACATAATGAATTTATTAGTCATAGACATTTGAAATAATGGGGTTAATAAAATGCGTAGGAGAGTTCAGGAATGTGAATTAATTGTGGATAACAATCAAGGTGATCATTATAGTATTAATAATAACAAGGATAAATTCATTCAAGTGTTTATATGATCTAGGCAGTGGTGAGTGTAGAGGTAGAATGTGCACACTGGTAGGGGGTAAAGTGGAAATAACTATTGTTACATAGCGATTAGATCATATAATAATGATACCAATACATTGTGAAACCCAGATTAAAATGAACCACTACGCCACAACATGATACTGATAATACTGATACAGCTGTCAGCACAAATAAATATAATAAGGTAGTATTTCAAGTTATCAGGTGTCACCGGAAGAGATAACTGTTTTTGGGGGGGGGGTGGCGAAGGCTAAGGGAAAGAGAGAGATTGAAAAAGCCTTCTCTGAACACAGAGACTGGGTTGAAAGTTTTTATGGCAATTGCCTCAGATATGCTAAGCAACCGAAGACGTAGCGACCCTTTTGAGTCGAGGTGGAACCTTGTATAGAATTGTAAAAGCTGAATTTTCACCAATCTTGTCATCCGTATCCTCTAGGTGTAAAGGAAGTATGGAACTTCTGACTGACTTTACGACTCCTTTATCTAAGCATGTTGGACTATGCTCAGGAAGGCGACGGTAAGCTTGTCGAGTCGTGCTACCCATTTAACTGTCTCCACAAGAGCAGTTAAATTTAAAAATGCATACTGAAGTGGCCAGACTCCGTAGCTTATCATTCACCTGCATTGGAATTATACAACGAGTGTTGAGACAAAGAATACTTTAGCTATTATTTTTTTCAGTTTCGATGCCAGTAATTCAGTAGCTGCGTCTTCTTTATTTTATTTTCCTTTTTTCACTTATATTATCTTGACGCAGAAACGTTTACAGCTCCACTAATGTCGTTGTGAATATGCAGATTCTACATTTATGAATCAACAGTCGCTTGTCTATGAAAATTAGACTTTTTGCCTGACATATCTACAATCATAGTTATAAGTTTTTTGAGGCACTGTTATATAGGTGATCACTGGAAATAGTTTACTTTATTGGTTCTATGCGTTGTTTTCTCCCAGTGCTGTTGTATTATCCCAAACTCAGACAAAATATCTGTCGAATATTCACTTACATCTCACTGTTTCTGCCACTGACTTGCATCATGTTGTGAATGTTCTGATTACAGCTTTCTGTCAGATTTGAAACTCGGTTGGATAAACTCAGCTTTGTGATGCGCATTACTACTTGCATCATTTTACAGGATCTACAACGGGACTCCCTTTTGAAGCTGAACTGATGAAGACTTCCAGTTTGTCGTTCACAGCTTATCACTGGTAAAGAATCTCATCTGAATGGTGTTTTATATTTTCCAAACGGGGAGAAGAATTCATTACTTTAAAAAAAACCTTTACCGGAGAAACATCCATTAAGTTGTGAAATTTCGTTTCATGAAAAATGTTTTGACATCTGTGAGAAGATGGCAACAAATTTCAGTTCCAGCTAGTCACAACTAACGGGTCTACAACAGAACAAAATTCACTTTGTAGATAAAACTAGTAGAAATCATTGGAAAAACAACATCATACTGAAAATCCGTATTTAAGTAGTACAGCATAAATTTGACGAAAAGTTTCCAGATAATTTTGTTATTGATCTAAACATTTTGGAATACTGGATCCCACTATGATGTGTGCTATTAATATACTCTGGAATTGTGGTGGAATGTGAATCTGTCAGTTGTCCATCCCTAGCATTACAAAACAGTACAAAATGACTTTTCGCGCACAACCTACTGATCATTAATAAATCTAAGTAGACACTTATCATGATAATTGCCTATCATAGTCCACTAATCCTTAATTGTTCTCGCTTGCTGATAATCGATCTTGTTATCTTTTGATATTTTAATCCGTCGTACCAGGCAGTGATTTATTAAGTAGGGTGATGGTAATCATTCAGTCTTTAAATAAAATGAAATCAGTCTTTTTTGTAGCTCTATCTCATTCTGTCGGGTAATTATATGTTTCCGCTTCGATAGCATTAGGTAACGCTACTTTCAAGTTACGTTTCTATCTAGCTAGGTTCAGAATATTTCATTACTCTGTTTCTCATAGTAAGGAATTCCTGAGACTCGGTAATCAAATGTCAATCAATATGGATGATGCGTCAGTCCAGCAGTGTTTTGTAATTCGTCGATTAACGATGCCTAACACAACACTGTTTTATGCAGTGTTGAAGGTTAAAGGTCTGTAAACAAGAGGCAAGTTTCTTGTTTGTTTAATTAAACTCAACAGCACAGTGTGGTAGGAAATTCGAGAATGTTTATTTCACAGTGATAACTTTAACTCATTTCTCTCAGTGTGTTTAATACAGATTTAACACCATGAAGGGAAACCCTTCACTGATGTAATCATTCAGAGTTCACCCAGCGTCTAAGTTTAAGGTTATGTAAATTACTTTGAATCTGACAAAATAAGATTTTCAAGTGTTGGTTTGTAGGGATTTGATTGGTTACGGGATTTTCATCATGAGCTGACATTAGTTAGAGAACCATTGGAAAACCTGGGAGTATTGGACAGCTGTTTCATCCTAGTTTGGGACTCTTCACCAGTACCCACCCACCGGGATTCGAATCCAGGACCTTCTGGTTGCAAGGCGAGCTAGTATACCATTAAGCCACTGGGACCCGATCCAATGGTCCATGAATTCTAACTTCTGCCAATTCACGACATAGCGCGACCCCTAGCCAATGTCTTCGGCGAGTATTTGTGCGTACTTCTGAAGAGTCCCAAACTAGGACGAAACAGCTGCCCAATACTCCCAGGTTTTCCAATGGTTCTCTAACTAATGTCAGCTCATGATGAAAATCCTGTAACCAATCAAATCCCTACATACCAACACTTGAATATCAATGAGATGCTCACTAGCGACTTGCCCTATTCAGGTAGGTAGTTACCTGGGGTTCTAGTGAGAAGTCGTGACCACTAGGGTGCAGCAGGTCGGGTGTGATGACAAAGAACTCCACACTTGCTGTTGTATTGAATTTTCTCTTCTTTTTCACATAATATTTGCCTACTGGATAAGTTCTATCAAATTTTATTGCGTAAGTCATAATTTTTATTCTTTATTTATTATTACTGTTCCCCTCTGTTCCAAGTGGAACATACAGCTTCAACGGCACATCTTATTCTACTTTGCCCTATTTTCTCCTGTCCTCTTTGGCTGACCCCATGATTGCCCATAGTCTCTCATCTCCTCCTGACACGATCTCCTCTATGTCACCCTCGGCCCCATGCCCCAGTCTTCGTTTCCCATTCGAGGTCTACTCGATAGATGGCCTGGCGAGCGATGTCATCCACTAGTTTCCTCATCGTGCGTCTTCATTTCCTTCTACATATTTGCTGAACAAATTTAATTATCGAGCAATAATCCCTAGTTTGTTATGCAGTCTTATATGTTGCAGTGTTTACTGCTGTTTCATTCCTTTCTTGTATTATAGATGGACTCGTTTTTGGATGCATTTTTCGCCTTGGATGTTGATAATCGTGAACAAATATCTCTAAATGAATTAAGCGCATATAATAAGAAAAACAACCTGCAAGATAATTTCCCTGAAGTAAGTTGAAACAGACTTTTGTAACACAGTTTTTTTCCCAAGGAAATGTTACTTATAATCACTCTAAGGGATTAAATTTTCCCATGAATGTAATTGGCGGTCAGTAAAATTAACTGCATTTTTATTCATTTGTGAAGAGTTCCCATCCTTGTAATTCTTAACTTCTTTTTAAACTGAATTTGGTATTATTTATCATACAGAATTCGGGACAATCTTTAAGTTGCATTTAGGATTTGTCAGTTCAGTCTAATTGTATTTTAGTGAGTAATGATGTCTCCATCGGGGTGCGAACCCAAAATCATCGTGTCAGAGATAAGACGTTACACTCTGTGAAGCAGGTAATACTTTTTACTCAGTGCGACTTGTAATTTTCTGTTGTGTGTTTTACTGGATTAACATGATCAGTTTCTGTTGGCACGGTTACACCAGAGATATTTTTCATCTCAATCAGGCTAGTATTGAAATCAGTAAGACTGCTCTGATGGTCCACTGGTAGAATACTCCCCAACTATGCATATGGTCTGGAGTTCAGTCCTCGGCTAACACATACCTAAATCTAGCTAAGCCGGTAGGTTGGGTGTGAGGCTAGTAAACCCGCCCATTGAAAATAAAACCTCTGCTACCATAACCTCGAAACTCAAGCTCAAAGGCCTATGTCCCACTGGGAACGTGACGGAATAAGAGAATTCCCAGTGGAGACAAAGTCAACGTGACATATAGTAATAGAATGAAAATAGCTTGAAGTCAGTTACACACAACCGGCCCTTTTGATTACTTTGAACAAGGAAAGAACTAAAATATTTGCAGGAAAATAAGAACTCGTTCTTTTGCAGATTCTTTTCAGTTGTGTACATCCTAAATAATATCGAGATATAAGTCACAGAAGGTCTGAACATACTTTCGTTACAGTGATGTCGAGTTATGGGTACAAAGTGCAACCAACATAATTCCCGAAAATGATGTAAGTAGACAAATTATTCAGTGTTAACAGACTAAATATTTAGAGTATAATTAATTAGACAGGAGTTAGGTAAAGTTCAGATTTGGCTTGGAAACAACGACTGACTCCGTAATAACAAAAGTGATGAGTTGTCACAAACGATTGTTAAAGAAGAGTTACGTAATAACATGAATAGTTTAATGAAAGAGTTGTACTCAGGGTGTACACGGAAACAAAATATACGGAATTACACAAGGGTTTTAAGTAGAAAAATAAGCATACAAACAAAAGTTAAATCAAATCAAACAAACAAAGAAACGTTAAGTCAAATCAACAGAGTTGTGACCATGATAGTGGAAGTGGTTGAATAATTTTCTTTCGTATGCACAGTTCTGGTTCCTCTAGCTTAATGGCTAGGGCTTCTGCGATGCAAAGAAGACGGAATCGTACTGTCTTTGGAAGGTTGTTCTTCACTTTGTAGATCACTTTGAAGGAGGTGTTTGTTGAGATGGAATGACCAGTGGTGACGAGATGTTCGATTATTGCACTCCTTCCTTTCTGCAGCCACGCTGGATAGTGTTCTTTGACGCTTTTTGACAGGATGCGCTTCGAGCGACTGATGTACCTGGCTTCACAGAACAGATGAACTGATGTATACATATAGAAGTGGTCAGGTACGAGATCTTGTCATTTGAGCTTCTGCAGATCAGCGGGTGACTGCAGAACACTACTCTCAGTGTTGCGCAAAGAAAGTTCTTCTTACAGAAGTAGAAATTCTCCTAAGGACATCACTAAGTAGGTCACCTTTGAAGTCGAGGTTCATATAAAGTATTTTTTTTGGCCCAGATGGCGTCTCCTGCTTTTGGATTTTCTGTTTGATGTTTTCGTCTATGAATCTTGGTTGATAAATGTTTTGTATGGAGATTTCTTTCAGGAAGTGTAATTCTTCTTCCATGGTATCAGAGCTGCAGATGCGTCGGACGTGAGTAGCAACAGATTTAATTAGGTTTCTTTTTCTACTGATTAGTACGCAGCTGTAGAAGCTTGTCATCTGGCCGCTCCATATAGGTTTCCTATGGATGGACGTTCTTATAGTTCCGTCAGCTTTCCTTGTAAGTTCAACATCAAGAAAAGGAATTTTAGATCCATTTTCAATTTCAAGTGTGAACTTTGTGACTGAATGGCAGTTGTTGAATATTTGTAGTAATTGATTAAGATCATCACCATCATCACAGATAATAAAGATGTCGTCCACATATCTAACATATAGTTGGAAATTGTCAATAGTTGATTTGAGTGGGCCGTTCTCGAGGCTTGCCATGAAGCAGTGTGCTAGTAATTGTTTCCATGTACACCCTGAGTACAACTCTTTCATTAAACTATTCATGTTATTACGTAACTCTTCTTTAACAATTGTTTGTGACAACTCATCACTTTTGTTACTACTCTCTTATATCAACATCCAATTCATCTGAACTCACTAATTGCATTTTCGTTTGACAAATGTAATATACACACACATACAAGACAGCTATATATATATATATATTTGCGATTGTACAGCTATGAAAGTGAATTCGCCGAAAAGAGACTCTTCGCTGAACTATTTGTCTTCTGTCTATTAATTTACATTGGGAACCAAAACTGCTCAGATTGCAGTATATGATGTGCTTGACACCAAAATGATGCCCAATTCTGAAGTATGAAAACCCCACGATATCTATTATTGACTCGTAAAGTAGTCGTAGACTTCTCACACCTGTAACTGCTAATCTCCAGTTAGATCAAGATCATCTAAATATCCTGTAATCATTTTACTAGTTTGGGATTGACATGATCCTTTGATATGAGTCATTCTGGGTACAATGCAAATAATATTGACTCTTGACGAGTAAAACAATCTCAGGGAATTTCAAGCAACTAATGGCATCCTGTCTTTTTACCTTTTACCAGACATTTCTTCGTCGTTTCGATGCTGAAAAAACTGGCGTTGTAACATTGGATCAATACTGTAAAGCACTAGGTCTTGTTCCTAAAGAAGCGTAAGTTCTCTTAAACACCAGTGTATTTTACTTTGTTAAATTTAATTGTGTATTTACTTCTCAAACAACACCATATCCCATGAATGTAAGTCATCTGGACTAGTGGTAAAATCACTAAAAGAAAATATTAAGGCTAAGAGAATAGCAGACAATTACTATCCTTAAATTCTGATCTGTTTGTTGTATCTTCGTTTTGTTGTTATTTTCTGAAAGCTCTTAGTATAAGTAAGTTTGCTTGAATAAAACACTTAATTAGGGTGGTCATTAAATGTTTTCTATTATGACCTCAACTAACAGCACTTTAAAAGAATATGCCTACTAAATGCTTTTAAGATTTAAGTAGTATAGGGACCGAAAAGAAAAACTGACAGCTTTCATATCCATCTTGTGATCAAGGGAATCATTGCGTGGATTAGTGGCCTGGTGTTAAGCAGTGAAACTGTCAGGACTTATCGATCAACTGAAGTTAATTAGTCACGTGCAAAACAATTGAAATAATATCCGTTTGATGTTTAAATTATGGCGGAATCAACATTGAAATGTTTAAGTGAAAACCTTGAGTGTATTTAATTCGACGTGTCACCGTTAAAAATAGATTTATATATGAACATGCCAAGAACTACCTAGAACACTAGACAGAGGCTATAAGCATATTAATGATCTATAAACAGCAGATATTGATAATCAATGAAATACTCTAATGAGATTTATTTTTCTACACGACAATCAAACCGTAAACTTCTATCAGAATACAGAAGGCCTCCAACCGACTCACTGACTTTTATACATTCCAAGTTGAAACAGACTGTTGACGAAATACGAAAGTTGTCATTAGGATAACATAACCAATGAGTATTGTATTAAAGGATAGTGAAAAAAATTGAAGGGAAAAAAAATCAACTCGATATTTTGAATAATAAACGTAAAATTGAAGCTATATCAAGTACAAGGGCGAAATCGAATGAATCCTTAAAACCGCACTTTAGTTAAATTTGAAGGCATTTCACAGAGTTCACCAGCTATGTTTTCCCCATTCTTGGAGTTTATCAGAACGCTGTCGTTATATTCCGAGTCTAGTATTGTTGGCCTTAGCTGTTTCCATCACATCTGTTCCAAAAATGGAATGGATATTACGGAAACACTCCTTAGTGGTAAATGGATCTTTTTCGTAAACTCACAACTGTAAATCACATTCAGATGAGGAAGGATAAATGATAGTTAGCTCTTGTTATTATTAATATTATTATAGTTTCCCTTAATTCCTGGAGGAACATGGGTTTTCAGCCGTACATCTCCACTGCGTTCGGTTCTCTGCCAACGTTTTCACCTAGCTCCACGTCTACCCACGTGCTCTTGTAGGCTGTGTTAATCCTTGCTATATGCATCTCTGTAGACGTCTAATCAACTCCTCTTTGAAAGTCTTCACTCCAGGTTGTGTCCATCAAATTGGTATTTTATAATGCACGTCACTAATCCCTATGAAGCCGTTTTATTCATGGTTGTGGCTTACAAATGACAAAGGTAGCTGACATCAGAATCAGAGTGGAACATTGCAATGAGTGGTGGTGCATCAATAGAGGATGCGACTCTCCCATTAAGTACACACAATAGGAGGACGGAATGATGCTAGCATAGAAGAGGATGAGTGAGACGGAGAGAATAATTCAATGAAACCTTTCAGCGTGTAGAAGTTGTTTAGAAGTGGATGCATCTGTGACAGTGCTAATAACGACTTTGAATCATTTCATCGAATGTCTCCAACCTCTGATTCTTAGTGTGACGATGACCCAAGTCAAGTCAGGAAAGGCAATCTACATCTCCCTGAGTGGCTCTCACACCAACAATCAATGTCTTCACCGTTGTCTCGGATCGTCGATATGCGACTTGATAGATGCCACCAATAGACTGTACTTTTCTCACTGCCACAGATTCCCTGCCTGAGCACTGAGACCGCCTGCTAAAATCACTACACCTGAGTGTTTCGCTTTCACCATCAAACTAGACACCTGTTGATAAAACTGACATTTCACTTCCTCCTTACACTGTAAGATTCCAGTGTCGAGTGAAATGCAATACAACTCTGTCAATGTGAGCATGATATTCCACTGGATGCTTGATTGTCTTTCATACACATCTAATGTCTATTGAAGCTGGATTAGGCGGAAGAGATTCTTCGTGCACCAGGCTATGAGACACACTCATCGTATGAGGGCTGATGACACCAGCGAGTTGACCAGGCTGAAGTGAGTGGAGTGAGAAATGAAGGCATGGCCCAGTGCTTAGGCCAATTAACCACACTTCCATTGCTCATTAGTAATTCATGCATTTCACAGACAATGTGTTTTAATATTCTCTACTTTAATGATACTCCGATAATCTGTCAATGATGTCTCATTAAAAACACTACATGACATGTATAAGTAGGTAATCTGAACAACACAGTTAAGAAAAGGCAAATTATTATCTATGATAACTTCTATTATATTTCATTTAAATTAATGATGACTGCATGATCACTGACTGACGGAAATAAAGGTGCTTGGTTACCAGCAGACCTTCGTGTGCTTTTGGAATTTCATGGGCGGTTATTACTTCCCGACTGCGCCCACCGTGGAAGTTAAGTCTTTTCTTAGTGTAACTGCAACAGAAAGGAAATCACTGTTGTGTAATTTGATCACAGTTCATATGAACACTGTTGTGTGACTTCAGAGCCCAAGGGAAAACTGCTTCAGACTGGTCATATAATGTCTGTTTTATTCGGTTTTTATTGATGTTTCCGTATCAGGATCTTACCGCCGGTTACGGACCACCGTAGGGTAAGTCAGTATGTACAGTTCTCAAGGTCGACCTTTCTTGACAATACAGTGGCACAGCTGGAATGCTGGTGATCTGAGGGAGACACCTTGCTGCTGTTTCGTCTCTGTTCCCAAACAGCACAAATTTTCCTACAGACCCCTAAAATGATGTAAACAGCTTTCACTATGACGGTAACTGTTTTTAGTCTAATCAATATCCTAACAACCTTTCTGGCATGCTTTGACCTTCAGGAACATTAATTCCAGCCACTGTAACCTGTTGGTTCATTGCAATATGCAAGCCTGGTCACGAAGTCAAAGCAGCAGTTTCGGCGGGCACTGTATGGTCAACAAAAGGAAACTATCCATATTCTCTTAATGCATCTCATTAAGTTATTATGCTCCATTTATTTTCGAATCTTTTTTAAACACCAATGGATTCAAATATTCTAATTATTAAGTGCAGCGCATTCTGAATTATAAGCTGCAGGAACAAGATACCTCTTTTTGTCATACTCACTGACGACAAAAATTAATGCATATTTCATGTTTGTATGCACACTTGTGTTTATTATAAGCACAATAAGTAAATTTCGTTTGATGGTGACCAGCAGTAATATTCAGGATGCGCGTTTCGTCTTATTGGGGCTCATCATCTGGATGTACCCTATCCAGCCAAAAATGACATCATGTCACTCCTTAGACATCGCTAAAGCGTTCATACTAGCAGCCGATGTGTGAACGGAGACCGAGCATATTGGTCAAACAACTTTATCAATTATTGGAAAATGTAAAATTTACCTTTAAAAGAACCTGAAGTAAATGTCTTTACGTATGACATTAGTTACCACCAAATGTTCACTCAAAGTATCCAATACAATCCTGCAGGAAGTCAATCGAACACCTCAGTGGTAACGTCTCTGACTGCAGTAGTGGGTGACACAAGTTCAAATCTCAGAAGGGATATGAGTTCTTTCAAAATTTCAGATACTCCTTATCGACTAGTGAGTGTCAACAGGCACGAAACCTAGCTCCGTGGGTTCCTTCCGATTGCCTTCAGCCCTCTAGTAAAGAATCGTAATGCTGTTTGCATACATAAATGCCTTTTTGGAAACACCACTTTTTAAAAATTCATAATCATAAGTTACTCAGTGTTTCAATTAAAATATCCAACAATAGTAACAACCAGTAACTTAGTATGAAGACCCAAAGGAAAAATAAGACTTGTAATGTTAATAATAAAAACAATAACATAGAATTCATCAGAGGTACTACGTAGGATTTTCAATGAGCGTGGAGTTTAATTTTGTTAGCTTTAGGACCAAATACCATTAATGACTTAGAGGTCGATTACATAGGTAAAACTAGTAGATCGGGGTCAGCTAAATTATTGAAACAAACATTTAGCTAGACCTAGAATAAATGACACCTTTAAGTTAAATAACCTGGAAAATAGATCAGCCATTCCATTGCATTTATTTGCGTGTAATCACAAAATAGGGTGGGACAGGATGAAAGTATTAAGAAGTAATAAAGTTAGGTGGAGAGATAGGTTAATCACTGAATTTTTGTTTATGGCCAATTGTGAAGCCATGTGATTAAATCCATATGATTATGAGCAATAGTTTGGGCTCGGAACATCATCCAGTTATTAATACTGCATCAATATGTGTTGTTTCAAATAAATTTATCTAATATGAAATTACTTTCCACCACAGCGCCCAAGTTCCACATTTACATTAAAATATATTCAACGTATCCTTTTATAATTTATCATACTATTATTATTATTTTGTTTAAATTTTATCAAGGCGGGAATTACGAAGACGACGTACAACACAAATGTTTGAACATTTATTACCACGTGATTTAGAATTTATTTATGATGATATGGATTTAGAAATGAAAGTTAAAGTAATGGAATTATTTGTTAATGATTTACGTGAATCTGGTCGTAAAACCAATGTAGACATGGAATTATTAGATAAAGCAATGCAACGTTTAAAAGAATATTTTGATACACGTTATGGGAAATCATGGCATATTGTTGTGTCAGTTAATCAACATTTGGCAAGATTTAGTTATGAACCAGGCACATTATTCCATTTCTGTTTAGGACGCTTCGCTGTGTTAATATGGAAGACACCATGTTCAGCTTAATTAATTAACTAATCAATAATTAATCAAAAAAGATTATTATTATTACTACTACTACTACTCGAAATCACTTATTCTACGAATTAAATCTGTATGTGTAATTCTGCTTCCACTTTTCTTGGGGTATTCAATTTTCTTAAATTTGTATGAATTGCCTTCTCTACCTGTCTGTTCTACTAATCTTCTCGTCTTCTTATTGTTGTTGTAATAATTACTAATTGATTTCAATTGCTCCTGTATTTCATTAGATTTCTATGGTAATTGCATGTGTTAAACCTTGAATACACAATGCATTGAAATAACCAGCCTCAAGCAAATGAGAATGCTCATTTGTCTACAATGAGACAAGAACAGACAAACACATAAATAATACAATCTTATGCACATATTACCTTGATAAAAGTTATTGTGATGATTGAATGTCACTTGAAACAAACATCACATGCCATACATAATTTTCGTTACTGTTTTTTTTATTAATATCTATCCTATTTAGCTTTGAATAAATTGATTGATATAAAATTTTCTATAGTTTGGTTTGTAAGGATTAGTTATGTTTTACGAGTTGATCACGGACTGATATCAGTTAGAGAACCATTGAAAACCAGGGAGTACTGGACAGCTGCTGTTTCATCCTAGTTTGGGAATCATCGGCAGTACGCACCCACTGGGATTCGAACCCGGGACCTTCCGGTTACAAGGCAAGCTCGTATACCATTCAGCCACTGGGACCCGATTCAATGGCTCATGAATTCTAACTTGGGTCGCGCTAAAATCACGAATTGGTAGAAGTTAGAATTCATGAGCCATTGAATCGGGTCCCAGTGGCTGAATGGTATACGACCTTGCCTTGTAACCGGAAGGTCCCGGGTTCGAATCCCAGTGGGTGCGTACTGCCGATGATTCCCAAACTAGGATGAAACAGCAGCTGTCCAGTACTCCCTGGTTTTCAATGGTTCTCTAACTGATATGAAATTGTCACGTTGAACTTCTTTATTATAATTAAGGTTTTTGTATTTCCCAATGAATCAAAAACAAAACGATATTGCTGTTTTTACTGACGTTTCGCGATTTAATGCTAATAGCTTTATCAAAGTATTATTAAACCAGAATTTACAAAATCTCAGCATATATATAACAAAGAGTTAAGAGGTGAGAAAGTAGACTTAGGTCAAGTTAAAAAGACATATTGAAATTAAGACATATTGAAAGTCAAAATAACAATGAAGATCACTGAACCAAAAATTGTTTAGTGAACGAGAATCTTATTTTCATAATGTCACTAAAAGAAGACAAATACAAAAATTCTTGAAACTCGAAGAAAAGAAACAACCAACAAATGATATGAAGAATATTAGAGCCATACGTAACATGTCAGACAAGAAAATGAAATCTCATTACTACAGAAAGGTCTGAATTTCAATATCACTTGAAAGCCATTATCGGTCCAGGAAATAGCACCCATGATCGAACCTGCTCTACAACAGTTCACCAATGAAGAATCACAATCTGTTCGTCAAAATATATCACACAACGAAACATACCATCTAATCTCACCAAACAAGAATATGAAGCCTTAAGAAATTTGAAGAAAGACAAAAGCATCGTTATAACGAAAGCCGACAAGGGATAATGAACAGAACAGATTATGAAAAGAAGGCGACTGAACACCTATCTGAAGGACCATACTTACTCATTGAAGAGAAGAACAAATCTGCCGAATTCAACAAAATGGAACTAAATACAAATAGATTCCTTCAAGAAATGAAACCCAAAATTGGAAATTCTCTCTGGTTTAAACTAAAACCAAAATCTTATGTACCTTCAAGATTCTACAATCAACCAAAGATACATAAACCCATAGTTCCATTAAGACCAGTAATAGATTTCACCAACTCACCGGCATACAACCTCTCTAGATACTTACTCTCGGCACTACAACCACTACAAAAGGACACTCAAAATATTGTAAAAAAATTCATATGATTTCAAATCCTAAATAGAACACTGAGAAATTGATAAAGAAGACATTATGATAAACTATGATATTAACTCATTATATACTAATATTCCTATTATTGAAAGTCTTGATATCATTTTCAGATACAACGCTATCACAAAGATGTCCACTGGACACCAGTGAAACAATTAAGAGCTTGAAATTCTGTCTAGAAAGTAATTATTTTGCGTTTAAAGGGAGTTTATGTAGACAGACAAATGGTGTTGCTATGGGTTCACCAGTCTCCTTAATAGTCACTGACCTTTTCATGAATAGATTCGAAGATAACATCTTTTCAAGCATACTCACTCCTAAAATATGGTTAAGATATGTAGATGATACTTTTGTGGTACTAAAAGGAGATCTACACAGTTGATACCTGCAGAAAATAAGCTGTGTATCTCCCAGAATCCAATTTACTTCGGAAGCAGAATCAGACATCGGTGAACTACCATTTCTAGACTGCCTAGTTAAGATGAAGGAAAATGGACATTTTAGTATATAGAACATACTTCTTGTGTAATAATAATAATAATAATAATTTGCTTTATTCCAAAACAGTACTTGTGATACAGAATGGAATTCTCAGCATTTTTACTACAGTATTGCATCCAGTTAGTACATTGTCAATAAAAAAAGAATTCTACATAAATTGAGGAAACCACAGTTCATTATTACAACAATACATTGGCATGTTCAGTAGCAAAGGTAAAGCTGAAACAGTGTTTGAAGTTGTTAGAAAAGTGGGAGCTGTCTTGTTAACTGGCGTAAGCGAAAGAAAGAGAACAAAGCAGCACATAACGGAAAAAGAAGAGAGAGGAAAGGAACAGAAAGAAAGGAAATGTTGAACCTATTGATGAAGTGGGTTGGAAAGATGGGGTCCAGTTGTACTACTGACTATTTAATGAATTATAGGTGTCACGCCTAATGCTTTCTTTATCACACAGAACGCGAGCTAAGTAGGGTATGGTTGAGTTTTTGTACTTGCTGGTACGAGCATATAGTTTTCTATATTGGCTTCTGGTTTTACCTGATGAGATGCAAGGGGAGAGTTGTGAGTGAAGAGGGTGGTGTGAGTTAGATAAAATGGACTTGGCCCATTTTTCACATGAGTCCATGTGCCTGTCAACCAAAATATTAACAAGCTGGTTAAGTGGCACGTTGCTTACTCTGCTGACAACATTTAACATCCTGCGTAATATGTTGTAGTCTTTCTTCAGTAGCCCAGGAAAAACTAAGGGGGAACAATAGAGAATGATAGGCAGGATGCGAGAATTAACGAATTGTAGGAGTAGGGGTTGGGTAATACCAGAATGTATTAACTTCTTGATGTAGAAGGTGGGACGGAATATTTTCTTAGAAATTGCTAAGATATGAGACGACCAGGAGAGATCAGCAGATAGAATGACACCTAGGTATTTAATTTCCGATTTGGTTTCTATTTCAGTGCCGTCTATTTTGCATACCTCGTGAGAGCCAAACAGTTTGTTTAGGTCGGATTTATGCCTAAAAGTGAAATTGACTGTTTGGCATTTGGAAGGGTTTAGAGTGAGACCATTTTCCTTGGACCACTGGTTGATTTCTGACAGAAAGCCATTAAGTTTAGAGCAGTCGCTTTGACATTTGATAGGCAAAGATGCAGACAGATCATCAGCGTATTTGACAAAATTAATGTCATTTGAAGATGGTAAGTCATGTAGAAAGAAGGAAAAGAGAAGTGGGGAGAGTACAGCGCCTTGGGGGACTCCGGCTTCAGTGAGTGCGGCAGAGGATGATTTACCTTTGTATACGGTGTACTGCTTTCTGTTAGAGAAGTAGGAATGCAACCAGTTAGTGACCCAGGACTCAGTTTTCGTCAGGAAGAAAACCCACTCCAATAAATATCTAGAATTCGGATCATCACACCCCATCAACGCAAAGGTATCAGTTGTTTCAAGTCTTCTTAGACGAGCACACTCTTTGATAAGGGATGAGAAGGAAAAAGAAGAAGAAATATCAAACATTACTGAAACCCTCAAGCATAACAAGTACCCAAGGAACTTCATCAACAAAATCAACACTGACATTAAGTATGGTCAAAAGCGCATTGCAAATACATGGACCTCAATAGTTGTCATTCCATAGAGAGCAGAGACGTCAGACGATATCAGAAGAGTACTCAATAAGCTCGACATTAGAATTTTCTTCAAAACATCAGGCACACTGCGAAACAACCTTGTCCATATAAAAGACTAAATCCCTAAAGATTCTCTATCTAATTGTGTCTATAAAATAAAATGCTTGGAATGTGATGCAATATACATTGGACAAACATCTCGAGAAATCAAAATCAGAAGAAATGAACACCGTAGAGCATCTGTTCGACCACCAAGAAATCCGGTTGAACTAGAAAAGCTTGAAAAATCATCAGCCATAGGTCTACACGCTATAGAATCAGGCCACAAAATCAATTTTGACAATATTGAAATAATCCAGAAAAATTTCAGAAATCACGAAGAACGTCTAATATCAGAAGCACTTCATATCAAATGGAATCAAAATTGTCTCAACTGAATAGGAATGATGGACTGAAACAGAATCTGACCTGGTTACAACACCTCCCTCCCCCATGAAGTGACAAAATCAACACAGATGTGATAAGCAATATCATTATATAAACACGCTGTTTTACAATCTTACATACTTATCAAATCCAACAGTCTACACTTGGTTTTGTTATCTTTACCAATTGGCCAACTTGACAACGAAAAATGACCCCATACTGACGAGCGATGATCAAGTTAGTAAACTTTGTTTTGATGCCATAACAGATGTACTATTACTTTGTGGATGGTGACTAGCAGTGGAATCCAGGATGCGCATTTCGTCCTATTTGGGACTCGTCATCTGGATGTACCGGCATTTCCCAGTGAGTGATGATGTTCCCACCGAGGCTCGAACCCAGTGCCCTTAGATGTACTAATACCTTTGTTATTTGGTTTAGTGATCTTCATTGTTATTTTGACTTTCAATGTGTCTTAATTTCAATATGTCCTTTTAACTTGACCTAAGTCTACTTTCTCACCTCTTAACTCTTTGTTATATATATGCTGAGATTTTGTAAATTCTGGTTTAAAAATACTTTGATAAAGCTATTAGCATTAAATAGCGAAACGTCAGTAAAAACAGCAATATCGTTTTATTTTTGATTCATTGGGAAATACAAAAAACCTTCATCATAATGTATATCGTATACCCAATGCCCAAATATTTTCAAACTGTTAAAAGGGAACTTGGTAACACAAAATATTCATATAACGATATGTGGTGTATTCGATATCATATCTAGTAAGTGAAATAGTATATTGGTAGAAACTATTTGACTGATATGCGCAATTGGGTACTACTCATGCTAACTGGTGTGTGGCTTTTTTAGAGTTATACTTCTAATTTATTGAAAAGGTTCACTAAAAATTCAAAAGACTGATAAATGAACAGAAAGTGTTCTTTCCGATAAATTCGTCATCCGGTTTATGACATTTAT